CAGGAGTACCTGCAGCAGCCCCTCCTCAGCGGCCTGCGGGACAAGGCCTCCTACGTGCGCAGGGCGGCCGTGCTCGGCTGTGCCAAGATGCTGAAGCTGCAGGGGGACTCCGAAGTGGGTAAGCCGGCCGCGCTGGGCCGTCGGTGGTGCAGTGCACGCCGGGGAGGAGATGGTGGCGCGTGGAGTCGGGGGCACACAGCTGCTGAAAGCGTATTCAGGCCTGCAGTTTGTCCCAGGTTGGCTGCGCTGCCTCTGGGTTGTCGTGGCTGCAAGGCAGAAAGAGGGAGAGAGAGGAAGGTAAGTGGGCTGTCGCTGTGTATCGAATCGTTAATGGAACATCAGGCACTGCGAGGTTCCACATCAGACTGCCCCTTTTACAGTGGTACCTGCTTTTACAGGGTTTTCCCAGTCTCTGGTCAGCCAGGTGCCATTCTCACGTCCGCAGACCTTCAGGGAAAAGTTGTGCCAAGGGCAGGTGTTACTGTAGAGCTGGAAGTTTTGTTGACTGCTTCTGCCAGTATCTTTTGTTTGTGATAAATGCTTATAGACGGTGATTAAATTGCAGCGTGTCAACAGAATTTGATACAGAGACCTGCGCTTCTTTGCAGATGGTGCGTTGGTGAATGAGCTATACAGTTTGCTTCGTGATCAGGATCCTATTGTAGTCGTGAATTGTCTGAGGGCCTTAGAAGAGATCTTGAAGAAGGAGGGAGGAGTTGTCATCAACAAACCCATTGCCCATCATCTCCTCAACAGGTTTGTTTTCATTGATATTAAGACGGTGCTGGAAGCTTCATTCTTGCTCTTGTGTTTTGCATGCTGGCAAAGCAGGTAAGGTATTTCTGGGCTCCTGTCAGAACTCGAAGAGAAGGATTAGGCATGCAAAGATGGAGGTGCTCATCATAAGAGAAACCAAATTACTTTTATGCTAAGATCTTAAGAGAAACGTGAGATGCCCTGCTTTTCCAGGGAGTCTTTGCTTCAGCTGGTGGTTTGTTTTGGAATTGTAAGTTAATGTGGTTAAGGTTTTTTTTGGGGGATGACAGTATACATGATATATTTGTGGGACAGGTATGTTCTAGTATGTCTCTCCCAATCCATTGAAAGATATATAACTTAGCCATTGCTTGAAGAAATTAACTTCTCTGCAGGTAATTCTATATGATCTGGCAAAAGAGGGGTATTGCTCTGCCCAGGGTTCTTGTCAATGTTGTTGTCTGGCTTAGAGCACTAGCAAAAGTGCATATGACTGATACTGGGTGAAGCCTATGTACATAAACTGGTCAATTCTCTTGAGATAAAACTTTGGTATCTACTTCTGAAGCATAGCATTTAGTTTGGAACAGAGACTGTAAGAAACTCGGAGGCTAAGGCCTCTGCTCTGCACAGCGCAGATCTTGTGCTTCTTGATTCCTGCAAACTGTTTATTCTCTTGGCAGGATGGCTGATCTGGATCAGTGGGGGCAAAGCGAGGTGCTTACCTTCCTTCTGCGTTACAGACCCCGCAGTGAGGAGGAACTCTTTGACATACTCAACCTACTGGACAGCTATCTCAAAAGCAGCAGCCCCAGCGTTGTGATGGCAGCCACCAAACTTTTCCTAGTGCTGGCCAGGGAGTACCCACATGTGCAGGCAGATGTTCTGGTGAGAGTGAAGGGACCGCTGCTGTCTGCCTGCACTTCTGAGAGCAGGGAGCTCTGCTTCACTGCGCTGTGCCATGTGCGTCAGATCCTTGGTAGCCTTCCTGGCCATTTTAGCAGCCACTACAAAAAGTTCTTCTGTTCGTATTCAGAGCCCCACTACATCAAATGCCAGAAGATGGAGGTGTTGTGTGAGCTGGTGAATGATGAAAACGTACAGCAAGTGCTGGAGGAACTGAAGGGCTATTGCACTGATGTATCGGTAGAGCTTGCCCAAGGGGCGATCTTTGCCATAGGTAAGAGCTGTGTCTTGCCTCAGGAGCAGCTGCAGACCTAGACCTTTAAGGTGGTCCTTTCTCTGCTGACATATACCTGGGCAAATGCCAAATAACTGATTTGCGCTGAAGCAGTACAGACCTCTGTAGACCAGCCTCCCCAGGAATGTGTTGTGTGAGTGTGTTTCTAAACCACGATTGTGCTGATTCTTTCAGAAGTCCCAGTATTGAACTGTTTCAGGATGCACATAATGTCTATGCTCTGATGAGATGCTCTAAAGAAATTGTGTCATTTCATCTTAGTAATGAGCCTAAGAGTGTTGAATGAAACTGTGTAGTGGGTGGAGGAGCTGCTCTAATACCTGCTTGTTCTTTGAGTTGTGATGGGGGCAGAGTTAAGGTGATTTGGGGCACTTCAGTTTTGTTTTTGTAAGCTTTAAAATAGGTGAGTTTCTATAGTATTCCTAAGGAGAAAGCCAGGGATGCTAAAACACCTTTCTTACGTGTTACGTTCAAGAAAAGATCAGACTTCTTCTGAGGCGTGGCTTCAGAGAAAGGAACGTATCCCTTGTGTGGGGAACAAGCTCATTTGATTTCAGAAATCGTAGTCAAAAAGGAAAAGAGAAAGACTGTTTCTTTAAATTGAGTTTGCAATGAATAGTTGGGCTCATGGTTCCTATTTCACTCTGATGAAAGGTTGACTTTTATGTCCTTTGGTGTCTCTGCAGGCAATATTGCTAGGACATACACAGAACAGTGTGTGGGGATTCTGACAGAGCTCCTGGGGCTTCAGCA